ATTTTCTGCTTAGGTGGAGAGCCCATTTGGATACTTTTCCTCTGAAGAAATATTTCTTGTTTAGTCGACTTTATGGCGACATACATATGTGGAATGTAGGCGGTTTCTTCATGACAGTGACTTTGGAGTGTGGTACATAGCCCTAAATGTTTTGTTAGAATCTGTGTGTGTGAAACAACTGAGATTCTCATGTATTCAACTATGACCTTTCTGAAAAAGGGTGGTAAATGTTTTCCAACCCGTAGACGAAGCTGCTTAATCGAACTCTTTATGAAACTTGAACCATGGGAAACGTATGTGTATGAAGAGAAGCTGACAGTAGGGAAAACCTCTAAGAGTTTCAGGGGTACCTTTGTACGATTTCTGAAGGATAGAATGAGATGTACAGAGTAGAATGTCCTATTCATTCTGGTGGGTGGAGGCAGGAATAGAATCCCTTCAAGGATAGATATGAAAATATTAGCTAGCTACGTTGCTGGTTAATGTCTGTGACTGGCATAAGTTCTCCTGGTTTACAGAATCTTCACCAGATATCTATTTTTCGTTTCACAATCACATACATATATCTGATTTGAAAGTTTCTGCATGGAGGCGATTTTTCAGAAACCTCATGCATTTATTCCACATGAATTCCTCTTGAATTAAGCAAGAACAACAGTAGTTTGTGCAGCTAATTGCGCTTATATACTTTTCACAGAGGCAGTTCAAGTTTAAACAAAATAAATATAAACATACAATTATAAAAAAGTTATGTACTAAAGACGAGAGTTGCGTAAGGTGATGAGTGACGGCGAAGTTAGACTTTAAGCACCACTAATTACCAATCAGCGAACGACGTGGAATGGTCCAGTGTGGTTCATGCAGGTGAGTTCAAGTGTGTATAGCGCTTGATTTGTTTCAAATGAATGCTCTAACGAACTTACGCATGCACCTCTAGGAGGATAAGGCTTTGCAGTATTTCCTGGATTTGGGGTTGCATAGGAAGGAGAGGATTTGTCCATGTGATGGTGTTATGAGTTTAAAAAGCTTTATCAGGTCAATTGATGGATATGTCCATCGTTGTGCGATTTACTTGAGACTAGTCAATATTAGGGAGGTGCAGCTTCTGAAACCGAAAATAGCCTCATGTCAACACTTCAGTGGTACCAGTGCTGCAGAGAAACAGCATCATGGAAACTGGAGAGAATTACTTCGTTGTTGGGTGGAGGAGGCATCGTTGTGCATGTGGACGAAACTGTGTTACCAAAGAAAAAATACAATCGTGGTCGTGAGCGAGCCAACAGTGTTTGGGTGATTGGTTTATATGACACCTCCCTTCAGAAAAGGTTCGTGGAGCGGATACCAGATGGAAAGTCAACTACTTTAATACCTATTATTACCAGATTTGTGAAACAAGGATCCATAGTACATGCTGAAGAATGGAGAGGTTATAACTCACTGTCATCTCTTGGATATATTCATCACAGAGTGAATGGTTCCAGTGATTTTGCGGATCCCATTACGCGGACACCTACAAGTTCTATAGAAGGATCCTGATGAAGATTGAAAAATAGGATGACGGCTATAAATAAATCTCAAAGGGATCTTATTTATGGTCATTTGGCTGAATATATGCACAGAATGTGGTGTGACTTTTCTATTGACACTCTTATGATAAACTGGGAGATGTTTCTGTCACATTTTAGAGAAAGATACCCTATGTAACAGTTTTACGCGGTTTTTATGCTTTTCTTCCATAGATATACGTTTTCCTTTATCAAAGATCCCACTTTCATGTGACTAGTCCATTGAGGGGCGTTCGCTGATTGCTAGTTAGTGCTGCTTAAAGTTTAACTTTGCCTGGGTAACTAATAAATTAAGTAACAATGTACTGAGTTGAACTCAAATCATAGAAACAAGAGACAAGCAAAATTACATTGTGTCAAAGGGGTGGGGTGAAAGCCAAAGATTACGTAATCTAATGAAAGAAAGAATAAAGACATCCAGTTACTAGGGCTAGCAAAAGCCGATTACTGCTTCTTTCTGAACACATAAATCTGGTTTCAAGCGTTGGATGGAAATTTCTACGGGAAACTTGAGGAGAATAGAACTTCTTTGTCTATTGATAATTTTAATGGATTTCTGGTTTCCCACCTAATGACACGTGTTGTGGAGATGTCTGATAATAACGCTATATGAGCACAATTTTCTCAGCACTGTTCACTAATTGCAGAATTTTATGTCAGCCAACATCATGAAAAATTTGCAAGTATGTTAAGACTTTTCTGTATATCAACTTCATAATTTGTTTGGGCTGTAAGCAGCTGAACAGAAACCAGAGAAATAAATGATGGTACCATATTATTCTGCACAAACCACTGCTATTCACATATATAGGTATGGGTTGATGTGGTTTCCATTCTATACAGCTCTTTCTCCATGAGTTACTCATTCATCCGTCAACTGTCTTGTGGGGATGAAAAGTATGGCGAGTGAGTTTAGTGTAATTTAGTGCAGTCGTGGATTTGGGACGTCTGTGAATTGATGTGAGTAATTTGAATAATTTGGTTTGAGAGGATAAGATTCTTCATTAGCGGATTGCGTGTATGTGTGTATGTGTGAGGAGTGTATATGTTGGCCTGTATATCTATCATGGTCTCGTCGTTTGATCTCCCAGCTTCAACTCAGACGTCCAGGTTTCGACTCTTCGAGTTTCTAGTGCTTTCGTCCCGCCAGCATTCAGACACACTTTATGCACAAACTCCACTATAATACCCTGTAAACACCATGTGTGGGATGTTCAAGGCATTATGCATGGCCACAGCTTGTGAGATTGACTGCGTCATACCAGTGAGAAGACAAGACTCTCTCACTACCTTTGTATCATTCATCGGGACGAAAGGATTCGCACATCCACAGCTTAATCATCATCCTGACTACCCATCTTCTCTAAATCGGCCACCCACCACTGTCATGAATACCACAGATCGTACTGGTGTGAGAGGGGGCTAAGCAATCAAAGCAATCAATGCCGACTGGCAATTTCGGATGAGTCAGTCAACTCAACCCACATTCTCCTACTGGCCGATACAATAACCTTCGTCAAAGTCGAGTGCGTGTAAACATCTTATTGTCCGTAGTAGTATCCCGAGTTTCGTGGTGGATGAGGATATTGGTGAGCTGATATTCTCAAACATTGGCGAAACCGAAATCTGTCGACTAGAGAATTTGCGAGTAGCCTGTATAGGTATTGACATCGCACTAGAATCAAGAGGAGGCATTTTACATGTCTTCTGATTGTTAGATTTCAGTTTAATGATGTCGATGCTAGTCATCTGAATATGGCACCTATCCACTACCACTAGAAATTATTGATTATTCCACTGACCCGGTACCTGATTAGATCTACTAACTGAGCGCCAATTACAGGAGAATATCTTTAATGATATCCACTCTATTGGTTGTTGTTAATATGATAATGTGCACTTACATCGCATAGTTTGCTAATTCGACTAATCGATTTTCGTTAGAAGGAAATTTCAATGAAGAGTGATGCTAGTCCTGTTAGAAGGATGTTATATTACACTGTTTGGAAAAAGTAGGCTGAAAGCAGTCACGTGATTAAGTTGCGCGAATGATCGCTAGCCGTGGGTGAGTGACACGAACACTGGAAGGCGACCATGTTGGTTTTCAGGTGAATCTGAAGAGTTCTGTATGCTATTTGACTGAACGCATATAGTCAGAGCAGTTGGAACTATGTTATATTTGATTGAATAAAGACTTTCACTGAAAATGCTGGTGAATTCTGACCTCGGACTGAGTAATGTGTGAATGACGAATGTGATTATACTTTGCACTATTACATCCAATATTCCCCAATTCCATGCATTCCGTAATGAATATCGAAACGAATAATATATAAATGTTCCGATTTGGGTGAGTATGCGATGACGGTAATTGACATATCAGTTTTCATGCCGATAGATCAACTCTTTACTGAGGCTTTAATTCAGCAGTATACTGTCACTGTCTAGTTGTACTTAATTAGGAATATGTCCACTACACTAAAATGAATGATGCAGGTTCAGGGTGAAGCGAAATTCAGTGAATACAATGACTGACCTCGAGAGAGATGCAAGAATATTTCCCATTGGAGCAGATGCATTCAGTCTCTGTGATCTCCCTATTCCCATATTTCTGCATGGAATTATTCCTTCTGCCTTTCATCTCTGCTCAGTGTAACACTGCCTCGATTTCCCGGTCATCCCTACAATTGAGTGGTATGTAGAGTGTAGCTGCCTCAACTGCCACTTTCCTGTGTAAGGTCTAAGCATAGTCAGTGTCGTGTGCACACTTCTTAGGATTTGTGATGGAAGGATACTATCAGCAGTACACACATGCTGACACACACACACACACACTGTGGTTTGAACCTAATAGCTTCCGGTTATAAGACAAGGTTGTGGATTATTCAGCTAGGTCGAAACAGCTAGTCTAATAGTCATCTGACAAATATCAAATCGTAATCAGACTTGCGGTCAGTCGAATCCATGCAGACCAACAGTTGATGATGGTTTCTATCAGTACACTTCATTCATTTCGCTGATGTGAACGCATATCTTCTTAATGTTGAAGGAAGGCTGATGAAGTTACAGGCTACACTTCACAATGTTTCTTGTCACATTTCCAATGATGGATATCATTTACGTATCACAGCTGTCGTGCTGACTACTGAACACTAATTTCACATCGTTTAATTATCCTAATACTGACTTTCAATTTAACATATATATTAATTCATTTTACGTATATAATACAGATGATATACTTCAGTGAAGATTTCATCCACTGAGGTCGCCAACGCTTTCTCGATGGCTTCGCCAGTATGAAAACAAAGTGTACGGTTTAGTAGAGAGAATCCCGTCATCCGATATCACCGATAGTTATACATGTGAGTGAATCCCCTTCTAACACAAATTTAGCACGTTGTCTTTTAAGGCAAGAGGAACGAATTCACAGTGTTCAAACGATAAATTTTATTAGATATGAAAGGTGATAGACAGACTACATGGAAAATAAGCTGTTTGGCTGAAGACATAAGAGTATATCATTCATTGAAGTGGCGGCGAAACCAACTCTTCATCGATTCGATCATGCTCCACTTGACTAATTGACACTGATGAATGCGTTCAATTATGAGCAAAGCTTCTCACTTCGATTCTTCAACCGCTTCGTAACTGAAAGAGAAGTGAAAATTCGGTCAATACTAGAATATGCATAGCACAAGTTTAGACACTTATATCATGGACATTATCAGTGTGAGAAAGAAACATTCAGGCGAAGTTATCTGTGCATTCGTTGCATAAATTCGTACAAATATTCATCGAACGATATGGAGGACAGGATACACATCGATTTGATTTGGGAGATGCATTCCCATCCTAACAGTGATACAAGGCACACTTCTACAAAACACTGGTGAAATTATTCTATCACAGTGACACTGACAAGTGCATAATTTGACAAATTCAAAACATTCAATGAAACTTACTGATTGCAAGAACATTTTTCAACGAATCACCCAATCCATCTTCTTGGAAATAATTCGATACCACACCGTTTGACTTGGCTAAACACTTTCTCAGATTATCACGAATTGCAAATGCATCTGAAAGCTGCAGAGATGCATATTGTCATGTTTGTGAGAACACATGAGGTGAGGTGACTTACCAATTGTAGATTGTCTGTTTTATCTGTTGCAGCTCTGAAAGAAATGAAAAGAAGCAGCAGGGAGGTAGAGATGGATTGAATCTACTGGCAGATACAAGTGAAGTGTGTTTATGAATAATGAAATACAGCAGTGCATGTGAAGGTACAACATCCACAATCTGTGGTCGCTTCAGTATCTTGTGGTATATAAGCATCATACTTATCATGATATGCAGTCAGTCATCAGAGTACAGTAATGCGTTTCCTATCGCTTTACGCCCAGATCAACTTCTCTGATTGAGAACATGTGGGCTAATAAAAGGAACTCATTTTGTATATATCAATGAGAAGTTGATATGCAAGTGGAGTACACAAAACATGTAGTCAACTGATTCATGAGGCGGTTTTGTGTGATATGAAATCACTGTTTCGAGTGAGATCAGCTAAGGAGGTATGGTGAAATAGGGAATACAACCACCTGATTGACATTTGCTGTCTAGTTTCACAAATACACCCTAGACGATAAAACACCAGCTTGAATATTTATCAACAAAGCATATATGAAGATAATATGTGAGCAGAATGTGACTGTGATTACCGGGACAAAATATTTCTCACTCACTAGTCGAACGCTATGCAAAATGCAAAATGTAATAACTCACTCATTTGACATGACAAGGAAGCAGATAGCGATTGAAACAGCAAGAACCAGTTTCATTTTAATCCGGCGTGATTTCAACACTAGTGAGATGGATGAATCCGCATCTTTTATAGGTTTTCACGAGTGCATTCTGTCCATTCAACGTTGATTTGTATTGAAATGGAGTGTGGGTGTGGGTGTGTGTTTGTGTGTCTGTGTGTTCATCTCTGTCATTCGTTTCATTGGCTATCACGACGAACGTTTGTGATGTTTGTTTAATTTTCTAATTTTCGTCAACACGATGAATACAGAGTAATTAGACGAGTGAGAGGGGTGAAATAATTTCATGCATTTCAAGTATTGATATGGTATGCTGTGATTGACGCTTTCAGTGAGGTGACTTTATCCAGCCACTTGGAAATCGTATTCGATTGTTCGTCTGCTATTGGAAGTGATTCTTTCTCATTATTTCCCGCCAGTGTGAGGGTCAGTTTCCAATATGTCAGTGTAGATGTATGTTTGATTTGCTGATCATTCATTATGTGTGGTTGATGGTGAAATATGAAGGAGGTCCATTCCTTCATTCATCCGTGCAGCAGCGTTTCAATTACTAGCGAGGACAATGATTAGTATGCTGAAACCATAATTAGAAATGCGAAACAGTTTGGAAATCGTCTGTATTCTTCACTATACAGAAAAAGTTTGATTTTTAACATCCGTCATTGATTTTATCTGGTTGAGGAACCTGGTCAACGTGTCACGGAAAGCATTTCCAAAAGGCAGCTGCGGAATATATTCAGAAGCTACAACTTTCGCTGGCTGAATGGCCTGCCAGAAAGAATTAGCAACCAGACACTCTGGGATCGAACCAACCAACAACCTGTCGTCCAACATATATTCCGAAGCCAATGGAGATACATCGGACACACACACAGAGGATACCGTCGAGTTATATCATGCTCTATGCAGACCGCGTTCCTCGAGTAGAAACCCATTGGGAAACGAAGAGTTAGGGCTGATTCCGACAGTGACATGTAGAAGATAGTGTGAGGAGGAGATGAGTGACAATGTGGTGCTTCAGGAATGCAGTAATGGAATGACCGTTGGCAACTCAGGTTGTCCCAGTTGGATTCCTCCAATCGACACACTCGCAAACCTAACACTTCACCGACAAGTTGTAGACTCGTTAAAAACGAGAGATGAATCATGAGACTGATATCCCTGTGGAAACCATACATTCACCACTGGTGAAATTTCGGAGCTTCAAGCACTCGGTTCCACTCGGAACACAAGGAATGATAATAATATGCAGCTGAGTCGCAAATGATGAGATGCGGTTATGTTGTAAGCGTACATGCAATGTCTACATTTTTATTTGTAACGGTTGGTTTCAGCATAATCAATTCTTTCGTGAGTAATGCTCTGTGAAGCAGGCGTTTTATGTCAGTAAACGGAAGATTGAGCCATGTGTTCATTTTATCTCATGTATTCAGAAAGAGTTAGTATTGACTCAAGGAATACACGTGAAATCTCAAGGCGTTCCACAGGTTTTGCAATCATAGCAACCAACTCGTGGTACACAAACAAATTGAAATCATCCATATGAGCTAAATATTGGCTCTTTTATCTCAAAATACTGGCACTAATTTCAATGTTTCAACTAAATTTGTGATCACTAGTCTTGTATTTCCTGGTAATCGCGCCACAGATTTGGTGTTTGCATCCCGTATCCGGTGGACTAATTTCCTTCTACTGTGCTTGTTTTGTGCTTTGAAATCCACATAGATTGTAGAGCTGCTCAACTGCACCGTTGATGTAATTTTGAGGTTTTGGTTTTATTATTGTTAAGTAGAGCTGAGGTAGTATGGTGTAGTATGGAAAGAGAGGTTCCTCGTCATAGATCATCAAATAGCAGGGAGATAGGTTTGAAGTCAGAGAGAGCAAGTGATTCAGACTTCCGGAGAACCATCGGAGACGTGAAGGGAACACAGAGAAACACAATAAGAAGGGAGAGCAGAAGTAGCACCCCACGGAAGATCTCTGCATGGGGTGAGTTGAAGGTAAGGTGTACATAGTTCGTCACATAGTTGCACCACGTTCCAAGCAATCATTACTCTGACAAGTCTTTATTCTTCTACAGGTACAGGACCACATAGATCTACCAACAAATACACCCTTGTCTTGTTGTCTTCGGAGTGTTTTGTGACTGTGCGTCTCTCAATGAAGTTTCGGTCAACCATGCAGTAGGACGCGAGAATCGGTTCTCTGCGTTTAGATCAGATCGAGTCGGTTTTGATGGTTACATTCAGTTCGCAGTCTGATTAAAATCATCTGCATTGTAAAGTACTGACTAGATTGATAGGGGGATATATTCATTGCCAATTTGGCGAAGGTGGCACAGTGGTTAGGAATCTCACCGACCATGCAGATGGTCCGAAGTTCGATCCTCTGCCGACGCACACCTGATATCTATGGTCAGTCTGCAAAATCTGGGCTACCAATATCACATGCCGAAAATTCCATACTCGTACCAAAAATGCTGTGTGGAATCAAGCTGTAATCAAAAATTCTTTCACAAACACTGAACTGTGCTTTGTAGTCCGTGCCAGGTGGCAAGATGTTAGGTCTCCATTTGAGTTTCGTTGTTATTATCTTTCACCAGGAGGTCACGTATGCAGCCACAAAAGAGAAGCTCTCCTCCTCACATGGATTCGAAAGCATGTCAACAAGTCCATCCAAGGGGGAATATTATCAGTGAGGTTTGTGGGTTGTGGTAGATTTCCTGTAGGTGTGTGATGCATGCACTGCTCAGTCACTAAAGCTTCATCGAATTCACGCTGTCCAGTGTTCAGTGCTGACTGAATCTCATCATTTCACTTTTTGTGGATGTTTGACGAAATCAGGAAGAAATAGTTCACAGACCAATTTCAAAAGTGTCTCCACCAACTTGATAGAAATCTGATGTCGTGTTGATTACGATACTTCAGAAACATGCCAGTTTGATGAGCATTGAGAGGAATCGTGTTGAGTGTGACAGGTGACTTTCTGCATATTTCCACAAAAATTATGCCGTTGAGATTAGTCAGGCTTCTTGGATAATAGAATAAACGAAGACAAAATACTGAGAATATTCATGCATGTATTCCGCTTGAGGAATTTGAGTAAAGCAAGAACAACAGTGGCGGTTTGTGCAGAATAATATGGTACCATCCGTATTTATTCCGTTGGCTTCTCACAAGCTCAGCTGCTTACAGCCTAAATAAATTATGAGGTTTACGTACAGAAACGTTTTAACATACTTGCAAATTTCACAAGTTGTCAGTCGACAGAAAGTTCCCACAGTGGTAAAAAGCCAATCTACTTTCAGCTTGATTATGAAGGTGAATGCGATGCAGCGATGGTCAACAGAGCCAGAGCCTATCCTGCAGTTAAGTTGGTTTCCGTCCATCGAACAACATGCTATTTGGTGCAGTCAAAGTCGATAGATACCCTTCTCATGTTAACACCAACTGTGTATAAAAATTCACGTGTATCTGTGAGAGCAGTTACATGAGAAGAACAGAAAGAAGGGCACACCTCTGATTTTCTGAACATGTGTCGAAAAGCCTACGTCTCAAGGGAACAAACTCTTATAGTAGCAATATTACCTGACATCTCCTCGACACTGGTTATGAGGTGGAAATCGATATATCATTCAAAATTACCAATAGACAAAGAAGTTCTATTCTCCTCAGGATTCCCGTAGAAATTTCTATCCAACGCTTGAAACCAGATTTATGTGTTTAGAAAGAAGCAGTAATTGGTTTTTGCTAGCCCTGGTAACTGGATGTCTTTATTCTTTCTTTCATTGGATTACGTAATCTTTGGCTTTAAACCCACCCCTTGACATAATGTAATTTTGCTTGTCTCTTGTTTCTATGATTTGAGTTCAACTCAGTACATTGTCACCTAACTAATTAGTCACTATGCGTCTAACGCATATCTCATCTTTATTATGTAGCTCCTTTACCATTATAAGCATACATTTATTTTGTTTCAACTTGAACTGCCTGTGTGAAAACTACAGAAGCGCAATTTTCTGAGCACTGTTTACTGATTGTGGAACGTTCTGTCAACTGACAACGTGTAAAATTTGCAAGTATGTTAAAACGTTTCTGTACTTAACCTCATAATTTATTTAGGCTGTAAGCAGCTGAGCTTGTGAGAAGCCAACGGAATAAGCAGTGATGGTACCATATTATTCTGCACAAACCGCCACTGTTGTTCTTGGTTTATTCAAACAGCAGTGAGATGATCATGTAAAATTTCAAGACACATTCTAGGAATGATTGTAGATGCATCACTGAACTAAGAGCCTGGATAAGTTTGGAGATACTCTGGAGACACTATAAGACGTCATTTGTTGTAAAACTGGAATGTCAGTAATTATTTGCATTTGTAGTATTGGAAATCACAACATCACAACAACAATTGAAAGTCAATTACACAATCCGAACAGGAATGCGAAAATATGTAAACACTTTTCTCATGCACAAAGAGACAAATAAATAAACAATCGAGGGGAAAGTCAATAAAGTAAATAAATAAATAAATAGTTTGATGTTTACATGAAAAAAATAATACGTGACTGACATTATGAACTTTTTTGTAATTTAAAACACTGTGTAGAAAATACAAACATGCAAACTTCAAATTTGTAATGTGAAAAAATATGCCAACGAGGATTATACTAATAAAACTCATATTCATACACACACACACACACACAGAAACACTTACTCCAGTGAACACAAATACAAATGAGGTGAAATCTGACAAATTCATAAAATTGATAAAATCGTCTAGTTGTATAGGTCTGAGATGAAATTACCCGGACAAAAGTAGAAGGCTAACAAAATTGCAACACTATGGGTTATCATTGAACAGGGCCTGAAATGGCAGTCACCTCTCTATCGCAACTTCACTGACTTTGAAAAGGCGTTGAGCAGACAGCGTCGATCGAGAGGTGATTTGACAACTACTTCGCTACTTCG